TCTCAATTCATCTGCATGTATTTGAATCGGCTTCACAACTGATATGGTTTAGTTAGTTTAATACTACTATTTATTTTTTAATTTATTTATTATCTTGTGTTGTACATTTTTGCGAAAATAAAATTTTAATGTTTAAACAAAACAATAATTTATTCTATTCATATTTTTATTTCGCGTATTGTTTAACTATTTCGAATTTCATTCGAATCGGTTTCGAAACAGCTTACACTTTTACAATACCATTAGAGCAGAGACTGGTTTCCCCAATTTTTTCAATTTGTTTCGATAGAGGTCAAGCCAAAAAACATCGTATAACCAAAAATATGTACATACATAGAGCGAAACCATCTAAAATTAAATTAAATCGACAAAGCAAATTTTATAGCGCAGGACTGCTCAAAGTGAAATCACAATACATCTACAAAATTTATGTGTACACTGAGATTTGTTGTGTAATTTAAATGAAGCTAAAAAGTACATACAACCCTGCAAACCAAAGTTCCCGAAATTTTAAAGAAACTCGGAAATGTGTTTCGAATTCTGTAACGATTTCTATACGTATTTTCATAGAAAATCGTTTGAAGGGGTTAACACGAACTCGTAAAGAAATATGTGTAGGATTTTGTAACTGGAAATCTAAAAGATTTCTTTAGGAATATTTTGTATTTTGTATTTTTTCAGCATTCTGAAGAAATGTTCGAATGTATTTCTTAAAGAATATTTTCCCAACCTTCTGAAAGAAATTAAACACGGAAATTTTCGGAAATCAATTGCTTAAGTTTATTCGGTTTATATACTGTATCAAATGTATAAGATTCGAGTTTATGTAGATAGAGGGATTTCAATAACTATCCGGCTGTTTGCGCGGGTAGCGAACGAAAAATTACAAAATCCTCGTTTGCCTATGTGGCAGCTGAATGTTAGCTACAAAAGAATTCACAATAGTTTGCAAGGTTTAAGGTAAGTAAATGTGCAATAAGGTGAAAGATATAGATTTGAAGCGTTGATAAGGAAAACATTCAAAATTTTAGTAAAAGCTAAGTATTTCATGCTATAAAGAAGGTAAATGCAACATGTTTAAGTTATATATTTACTTTGAATGTAAAAAGTTGAAAAAAGTTAAATGTAATAAATTTAGAATTCTATTAATTTTGGACTAATGTCCTCGACAATTGCGTAAAACATTTAGGTCAGCGGGTTAACTGCTTCGCTTCTTAACGCGGTCCTTTGCAGAGTTGAAAAATCTTTTAATACTAGCTTCAGTGTTGTCCAGCTCAGCTTAGTATTTCCAACTGCAGACATACAAGAACCTGTGAACAAAGTGTGTAATCTTATTTAGCTACATGCATACATATTATGCTGTAGGGACGCTAAAATGACGCAAAAACAGGCCGAGACACGTAAACTTAATTTGGGTTTGTATCCCTAGATATTTTCATTTTAAGTTTTAATTTAGATGAAGAAATTCAAATTTAACAGGAAAAAAATTAAAAAATAACAGTTTTTATAAATTCTTTCATTTGTATTAAAGCCTGTTCTTTTACAAAAAAACACAAGCTTCTAAAGAAGTAAATTTATCGATGAATAAAAAGTTGTGAATGATCGAATGAAATTACGCAAAATCATTGCGCGTTACCATTTTACCATTCACAACTTTTTATATGTCCACCGATTTTCTTTGTTAGTAGCTTGATTTTTTCGTAAAAGGGGAAAAAAT